ATATATATATATATATATATTTCATAATTTCTAAGCAGTAATTTTACTTGCAACTTGAATTGTAGAATAATCTTTGAAAAGCTTATTACAATACTAAAAATAACGTTAGCCGAAACAAGATTATTAAAGACATCATTCGTACATTAGAGAGTACAGTTAATTGATATGTAAGTTTAATCGAATTTGCTTGCAGCTATTCGTATAAAATTTTGCATATGCATAGAGAGATTGCGACCGTGTAGCTGTACACACCATGTTGGCATTAACTGCGACATTTAGTTTCTATTCTTGCTGAATCGCATGCAAAAAGTTAATACGTTGTCCAGGAGAATTCAGGTGAACATGAATTCACCGGGAAAAATCAAGATTAAGCTTTTTTTTTATAATTTCCAAACGGTGAAAATCTGTTTTTTAATAAAAACTGATCGAAGACTCTAAGCCTCATTGAATGGAAACCAAAAAAGAAAAAAAGATTCGCGTTATTATGATTAATAGTTAGAGGTAAAAGTTCGATTAGGTGACTGGGATATATCTCTAAAAATCGATGAAAGAACTTTTGTACGAGAAACAGGTTGTTAATTTTTCTACTTCGAATCACACGTCGGCGCAGCAGGCAAATTTTTATTGCACGAAGCAGTGCATCTGATTGCAAACTTGACATTGTCTTCTCTTCTTCGTGATAACGTTGCTTGTTCTCGATCATTATTACTTCCTTTCTGTAGCTGTTCATTCTTATTGTCCCACTCGTTGCTATAGGACTGTTTGAGGAATCTCATTACAAAACTTGCCTGTAAAACCGGTTTCTAACCAGTGCAACCGGCCACCATGGCATGGGTTTGCTTTTCTCGAAGTATGTGTGACTTCTTCGATTCCTTTGCACAGTAAGAACGTAAACTTTTCGGTGTTGTAAAAAGAAACTCTCGTGGACAGCTTGCTTCTTAAGAATGCTTCACTTTGCAAGCTTTGCAATTTGTTTGAGGCAATGGCAGAATAAAAATTGAAGGGACCATAGAGCGATGGTTGGAACCATCGCCCATTTCAAGTGACTTTGAAATTGCTAATTCGTTGATTTTAAACACGACAACGATACAAATTTTTTGCAATTGTGATGTGACCGAATAAAGGAAAGACAGTGGGCAAACTGCTCTTCGAGCAGTGATCTATCGAAAACTATGAGGCATGTATATTCACGAAAAGATTCATCGAGTAAAGATTCTAATACTGTTTTAATGTTATTTATGTCATCGGTATATTTTATCAGTTTTTCTGAAGTGACTTTTGTGTAAAATCAATTAAGCTCAGGCACACCAATTAAAAAACCTTAAATCTATTTTTACACACTGCAACCCATCAAATAGAAATTAATAAAAATAAGACTTGTTAATTAAAATATGAAAATCAAAATTACGAAAATCACACATCATGTGTAACATCATCAACTTTGTTAACTCTGTTTGGTAACTTTTTTCAATAATAATTATAGCGAGTATCCAATTGTGTGAATTTTTTTCAAATTTTTAATCCAACAGAAGAAGAAACGATCTGTTCTTATAAAAGAAAAGTTCGGAAGTAGAAAAAAACTTGATACGACAGCAATTTTTATAGGGATCATTTTGAAAGACGAAAAACTTTTCGATTACTGATTTAGAAAATAATCAGTGGAAAAAAGAGACGAGTTTCATGCATCACTAATTCTTAAATGGATTCATTTGAATTTATTGGCTGATTGACAATCTCTTGAAAATAAATTATATTTCTATTATTTCCTTTTGTTTCATTATTTTTGTTTCATTATGTGCAAATTATGAAAACTCTCACAATCTGTTTAATGTTAGCATAATTATTTATTTTTATAAATTAATATTGTTTTAATCTATTACATACGGAACAGAATGGATATAATACTTTGAATAGTAATTTAGTACTAGATAGTAATAGAAAATATAATCCCAAAAATTTACAATATTATAAAAGGAAGTGAATTTCTCTAGATAAATAATGTTAGATTAATTAATAATATTGTAATTTGTAGTGTAAAAAAAAGTGCATTTAA